TGGTAAATGCCTATCACGTTGTGGTAAATGCCTATCACGTTGTGGTAAATGCCTTTCGCGTTGTGGCGAATGCCTATCACGTTGTGGCGAATGCCTATCATGTACTGGTGAATGCCTATCACGTGGTAAATGCCTATCACCTTGCGGTAAATGCCTATCACGTTGTGGTAAATGCCTATCACGGCACGTTGTGGTAAATGCCTACCACGTTGTGGTAAATGCCTATCACGTTGTGGTAAATGCTTATCACGTTGTGGCGAATGCCTATCACGTTGTGGTAAATGCCTATCACGTTGTGGTAAATGTCTATCACCTTGTTGTAAATGCCTATCACCTTGTGGTAAATGCTTATCACGTTGTGGTAAATGCCTACCACGTTGTGGCAAATGCCTATCACGTTGTGGTAAATGCCTATCACGTTGTGGTAAATGCCCACCACGTTATGGTAAATGCCTATCACGTTGTGGTAAATGCCTATCACGTTGTGGTAAATGCCTATCACGTTGTGGCGAATGCCTATCACGTTGTGGTAAATGCCTATCACGTTGTGGTAAATGCCTATCACGTTGTGGCGAATGCCTATCACGTTGTGGTAAATGCCTATCACGTTGTGGTAAATGCCTATCACGTTGTGGCGAATGCCTATCACGTTGTGGTAAATGCCTATCACGTTGTGGTAAATGCCTATCACGTTGTGGCGAATGCCTATCACGTTGTGGTAAATGCCTATAATGTAATGTAAATTAGTAGGATAAGACAGTCCATGGCTTTCCATACACATCGAACTGTGCGGAGTTTGTAGTGGGATGTTCCCTGGCGGCTACCTAGCTTAGTGATAAAAGACCATAGTCTCGGCGACGGAGAATGAGTAACCGAGTGACTTGATCATAACTTTGTTAAACGACAGGGTCTTATTGTTCGAACGTATTCGAATATTCAAATGAGTTCTATGCAAATCTGCTTTGTGCAGTGATGATAAGCAACGTGTATCGAACTGTGCGGAGTTCGGTTACCTGCGCCCTACTTGCCATTCACAAGGGACGCCGGGAACCAGCGAATCACATGATTGAGCATTGAGCGGCGTTGTCAAACAAACAATGCATTGAAAGAGAACTATTTATAAAGTATTTCCTTAACCTTAGTTCATTTCAGTCCGCCCCACCCGAAGAAAGTGTACAGGTAAACGCCTTAGTCATGCCGGCCTTGACAGGGAAATCGGTGACATTGACCGTGTTTGCTGTTTTATGTTTAATAATAGTTCTGGAATATGGAGTTATCATTGGAATATTTCCCTTTGACCAATGGACGAACGTACAGAAGAAGTTATTGTACACATACAGGTAAGTAGCATCACAATCTTCGTTTGGTTGAGCTATCTAGTAGTTTTGTTTTATTCCAAACAATTGTACACGGGCAATTGCTTTACACTAAATGTCCTACAGTAACGTTATTTTGCACTGGCAACGGAAATGATTCTACAAACATAGGTGAAACGTGAAACACTTTGTCTTTTAGCCAATGGATATTGCTTTCATGAAATCATATGTTGGAAATGTTTGTATAACCTTGACACTCTGTGTGTTTTGTGTGGTTTCAATGATCAACAAAACAAAATACCGTGAATCTGTGTCAAAACAATTTGTATGATGTACAATTAAACACCCGTAATGGCAACATCATAACCATACATGGAACAACAGAATATAAAATATAGAATAAAATGAAAAATATTATTAGACACATACTCGACGCTAAACATGTTTTGACAACTGACCTCCTGAATCTATTTTGAGAGTACTAAACTTTCACTTGTTTGTACTTGAACTCATTGTTCGTTGTGCATGAAAAGAGGTCATTATACAAGAAAACTGCCGTTACCATTGGTAATACGTTCCCCTAAAAACTGTTTATCAAGCCCCATGATGTGCTCATTACCAAACGCTTCAGCCGTGGTATTAAGAGTTTGTTTTCAGGGGTGGGTGATACCAAGGTGGGAAATGGATGCACATATGGGGTTAATTCCTTGAATTGCAATATAAGGGTTCAGGCTGAAATACAATAAATAGTGTTTTCATGTTCCGTCTGATGTTTCTGTGGTATTCTGCTGCTGTAAGTAATGCACGATTTGTTCCGAAATTCAGTTATGCTGTGTGCATTTC